CCACCAAATGTTAACTACATCGTTTCTCTCAGTTTAGCCCAAATGAAATTCTAATTAAACCGTCCTCCTTCCGTCATTTTGGAAAGCAATTTCTCTCCCAGTTGGAGAAGAGCGGGCTAGTTGTAGTACTTGTTAAGAGAAGCATTGCTTCTTGGCACAAAGCGCTCGCGAGGCGCATTGTAGCGCGCCAAGGGGAAAGTTAATGAGCGTCCGGCGCGCGCTCTTTGGATCCGTTCCTGCAGATCGGTGTTGAAAAGATGGACTCAGCCAAGCGACCGCATGGTGTTCTGTACACGTATTTATGTCCAAGAAGATGAAGATAAAGAATGTCAACCTGACAATATGTTGTTTAATCCAGTTTCACAGGCTGTGAACATTCATTCAACGAATAACCGAGACTGCATGTGAAAAAAGTAGACATTCACAAATAAAAATACGTTAAAAATACAATTCATACAAAAATGACCTGAGATTCATTCCAGAGATAATAGGGAAAAAAAGAAATGGGGGGTGTGGGGGTCCTTTAAAAATAAGGCAGTTTTTTTTAAATATTGTAAATAATTGAAAATCTTATCCGCCAAATTAAAATGGTGTAACCAACATTAAGGAAGCCATTTTGGTGACAAGAAAACCATAAGAAATGATAAGAAAGAAAATCATCACATATTTTTTATACTTTTTATGAAAAGGCATGGGTAGTTCAAGTCAAATGCAGTAACAGCCAGAAAGAAAGAAAACAGTGCCATTCATGAAAAATAGCTATTTTTAATATAAGTTGTCTCATACATAACCAATGTACTTTTTAAATTAATAGACACGACAAATTTGTTTTTAAAAAATAATGAAAAAACGTTCAAATAAAGTAAAAAAAACCCTTCAACAATTCTTGTCAATCAACTCTTAAAAACAAAGAATTACACACATATTTTAAACTAGATTTTAAAACATATATCTTTTGAATGATTTCAGATATCCTTGTTTACACATGGATGTTTGAAATAGTGTCACACACACATTGTAAGAGAAATGAAACATGCTTTGAGTGTTCACATTCCCATTCCTAAATGAGTGGGATAAGGCATTACCCACGCAGGGCCTTGAGTGGCAGGCAGCGGTGCCCCCTTCGCTGCCTCCGTCCTGCTCGTCAAGGGCACGCTCAGAGAAGGAGCTTTATTGCTCTAAGGTGTCAAGGCAGCCGCATGGAGCACGGGGACTCTGCCTCGCCGGAATGACATCAATGTCAGTCTCGGGTATGACCTCCATTCAGAAGCAGTCTTGAGAGCTTCAGGCAACGCAGCTGAAGGGGACCTTCTGTCCCCTCGTCCAACTCTTTACCCACAGTGTCTTAAAAGAGACAACGGTCTGACCTCAAATCTGTTCCACATTCAACAATCTCAGCGCCCCATTATATAAATATGAATGCGTTGTGTTAGGAAATAAGGGATATGGGCCAAAGGAAACCGCTAAATGAAATCTAAGGCTTATCAGCAGATCTTCAATAGTTATCTGTTTAAATTGCTGTATTGCTTCTATAGAGGAGTGACCTGTAATCACTCTCATTGTTTGGCAGGATCAGTAAATCTGGGATGTCCGGTGCTAATCTTTTGACCCAGAATGCCCTTTCAGAACAGTCTCTACTCCCTGTTTTCCAATGGATGGGTCTTAATTAACTCAGACCAAAAACCCTGCTGTTAAGCTGGTACTCTCTTCAATTCACCAAGTTAGAATGCAGGGGATTTGATATAAGGCCATGTGTCACTCACTGATCCCTTAGAATGTGATTTTACACCCAGCCCGAGGTGGATTTCTGATCAAAATATAGTCCAATCCATATATACACTCTCATTGGCATATATGGTTCCATGAAGAAGCTTGAACATCCATGGAACCTTTCCGTTGTGCAAAAGGTTTTTTATAGAGGGAAAAGTTCTTCAAATTAAGAAATAATGTTTTTTTTAAGAATTGTTCCATGAAAGGTTCTTTGGGAAACCCCAAAGGGCACTGCTGAGAAAATCTTTATTTTTAAGAGTGTAAAACTATACATATACATATATATACAGTGGTGTGAAAAGGTGTTGGCCCCCTTCCTGATTTCTTATTTTTTTGCAAGTTTGTCACACTTTAATGTTTCAGATCATCAAACAAATTTAAATATTACACAAAGATAATGCAAGTAAATACAAAATGCAGTTTTTAAATGATGATTTCATTTATTAAGGGAAAAAAGCTGTCCAAACCTACGTGGCCCTACGTGAAAAATTAATTGCCCCCTCCTGTTAAATGATGAAAGAACTGCAATTAACCACATTATTTTAGAAAGCGGAGTCAAATTTCACTAGTCACACCCAGGCCTGATTACTGCCAGAGCTGTTGAATCAAGAAATCACTTAAATAGAACCTGTCTGACAAAGTGAAGCATGCTTAAACAGCAACACATCA